TATGAAGGTAATTTTGGTGTAGTATGATATTTGGATTCATGGGTGTATTTATAGGGGAGGAGGATGGGTGATTGGTCGGGATTTAAGGCTCGTAGCTAGAAGAGGCAATAATTGAAGGAATAATGGAAGGTGCGCCTCATTATATGTTCATTCCCCCACGTGTCAGAAATCCCCACGAAGGCGCGCCTCATGATCCACGCCTTTCTACTGTGTCGCCAATTCGGACAGAACCCCATGAAGGCGCACTTTCTGATCCACGCCTTCCATCCACGTTTGCAATGCGCGTTCTCTGAAACACACTTTATCATCACTCTGTCAAAACTTGTGCTAGATCGATAATATTTAGAGAAAAAGTACCTATCATGTAATATTGTATTGTTAGGGTGACTTTTCGGTAAAATTTCCCAAATATTTAATATCTATAACTAATAATAAATTTTTATTTAATTCTTTACATCATCCTTACTTATTTAATCCTATTATTTCAAAATGAAGAGTGGAGACAAATAACAAACTTACATAATTTAGCATAATGTATCAGATAAAATGGGCAAAGATGATTAACCTAAAATATGGAAAAAGAAAATTGAATTATTAATCTTCTAAGTCATCAATTTTAAATTTATAAAGATTGAGGTCTAATTTATTTAACTTTGAAATTTATAAGAATTTAAAAAATATTTAAATTTGAAAAAGAATTGATGCTTAATTTAACTAATTGTAAAATTTATAGACACTTAAGAAATATTTAAATAAAAAAGAAAGGGCAAAGGATTAATCTATTTAACTTTAACATTCATAAGGATCTCGTTAACTAAAACAAAAACTTTGATCCCCTCCCACCCGGGGAGTCGGGCCTTAGAAAAACAAGGTTATAGGGATGAGAAAAGCCCAACAATTCAACATTTCAAGTCATCTGCTCTGTCTGTACTTATAGTGAGTAAAATTCGATCTGAATCGAAAAATCAATTCTTTGACTCGACTTAAAAAAACTCAAATTGAATGATTTTGAGTTATAATTTCATAAACTAGACTAGACTAAAAAATTTTAAGTTAAAAATGAGTTGTAAAATAAAACTCGAATAACTCAAATTTTTTAGTAATTAGTATATTAATTTTCAAGTTTAAGTCTAGTCAATCGATATGTAAATCACATATAAAAAAATGTATTGTATATGGTTATAAAATTCCAATTAAATTAGAATCAAATATTGTCATAATATTGTAAATTTTTACAATTAAATTTAAATAGAAACTTAAAAATTTGATTCGATTCAACTCGACTTGACTCAAAAAAAAATTTAGTCAACTACGAGTTATAAAATAGGACTCTTCAACTTGAATAACTCAAAAAAATTTAAATTGACTCAGCTCGATTGAACGCTCACCCCTATCTGTACTTGTCTCTGTAGTATTTTTGCACGTTTTTTCAGTTAAAATTCAATGACTAAAAGCTAAATATTTACAAAATATAATTAAATTAAAATATTATAATAAAATTGATATAATATACATGAAAACTAACATTAAGATAATATAAATATAAAATCATGTTAAAATTAAAATATTAATATTTAATATTAATTAAAATTAGTATTTAAACACATAAAAAATAAGAATTAAATATGTACTTATATTTTACTTTTAAATTAGAATATAAAAAATATAATATGGATAGAGATATAAAACGACACATAAAAAATATTATTCTCTAAATTAAAATATTAAGATAAACCACTCAAAAAACAAAGTCACGTGTAAAGGATACACACGCAACACACTAAAAAAACATCAAATATATAATATAAATTATTAGTATTCAATATATATATATAAACAACTAAGTTTAATCAAAAATCACAAATTACTATAAAGATTTACAATCACAATCATAAATTAAGCACATAATTAGAAAAATTTCTTATAATTATTGAAACAAAACTAGCAACTTAAGATCACATAAAGATTAAAGACTATATATACAAGGAAATATTAAAAATCTAACCAAGAAGCTCAAACAAATATAAATATAAACAGATCTGACCACATTGACAAACGAACCACAAAAGAGAATCAAACTATTGAAAGATCACCAACAAATCGCAAATCATACTCAAGCGACGTGAAAGCTATCCACCAACGTAAATCGGATATTCAAATTCAATTCGAAGGTTCAAAACAAAGAATATCAATAAGATATCAGATAAGAGTCATCTTGATCAGTCGTGACAATATTAAATCAACCCTTAAAGAAAAATAAATAAATAAACGATCAAACTACCGAAAAACATGCCAAAGAACATAAGAAAACATGTCATACTGACAGATTTAGTAAAAAATAAAAAATAAAAAAATTAGCGATCTGAACGAATTAGAATTATCGCCGGTCAACAAAGACAAAAAAAGAAAGATGAGTGAAACACCAAACCAATAAAAAGAAAACTAGATTTTTCTTTGAAAAAGTTTTTATTGTTGCAACCAAAAGAAATAGTATGCGAAAATATATTTATAATATTCTCATTAAACACACAAAATATTAAAGTGGTAGTTAAACGGACTTAATAAACTTTAACATAAAATGGTAATTAACTTCAAATTATTTAGTGAAGCACGTAATGAAAGAATCATAATGTAATTTGTAAAATCCAAAAAAAAAATCTTAAGTGTATTTGATGGTAAGAAAGTAGTAGTTTGTTTTCGGGGGCATCATGTCATGGCAGGAGCTGGTGAGGATGAATAAGGATAAACGGAGGCGGCTAACTGCCACATGGTGGCCGCTGTCCAAAAGTCAAATTCACGGCCATTTTCTCAACAAAATATTATTGTAATGTTTAGAATCTGTGAGTTGTCAATTGTCGCCTGAGATTCCTACTACTACATCATTTCTTTATGCTCAACACACACAATTCACGTTTTTTTAATTATTATTTTCTTGATCTTGGTACCACCATTGTGATATTTTTTTATCGGCGATAACAGAACATTCATTGGCATGTTATCAAATTTCGTCTTAACACTCTATAATTGTGTTTGCTGATAAAATGACAATAATCGTACAAGGTGGAATAGGGATGTTTTCGATGATAATTTCGATAGTCATTGCGATGTTGATATGATTTTCTGTGGAGAGGTATGTTTATTCTCTTTTGTTCTCTATTAAATGTGCATTTATAATATCTTAGAGAGGTGTTGTTATCATGTCATTAATGTTGATTAGATATATTAAAGAATGAAATTTTAGAATGAAAGATTATATATATCAATACGTGACCGTTGATGATGTTACAAAGATGTATTTTTAAAGACATTAGATGTTATAAAGTGTGTTTTGTTGGCATGAAAATTATAGTGTATGTAAGATAATAATATCAAGATTAACTAGCGCACCAAACCTAAATATGAATTTTTAATTTAGGCATAATCGCATCTTTTCCTTAATTACATTTTTTTCAAATAAATAAATTTTAAATAAAAAAATCTACATAATTACTAATTGATTAAATGTCAACCTAAGTAGTTGGCATATCACTCTAAATAAATAATAATTTGGATATAATAAGTGTTATGAGAAATTGAAAGATCAAGAATCATATTTGATTAATGATGACCGACGTATGTGCCGTCTTCAAGAGAGAAAAAAAAACATAAATAAAAATTATATTGCTTGTGTGAGAAAAAAAAGAGTACTAACATGAGAAGAAGGATATAATTTAGGTACCAATATGTGAATTAAGCTTTTCCTGGTGTTGTTTTGTTAAAATAGTTTAGGAATACGAACAGGTTGATTCAAATGATAATAAGTTTGATATTTTAAATTAATCAAGGCGAAACATTAAACGTAGAGTACAACAAAAATAGAAAAATAGTTGAGCAATGTTTCCATGGTATGAATCTCAAACATGCTTATATTTCTCCCCATTGTTCTTCGAATCATTTCGCTTCAGAATTATAGAAGCATAATACTAGTAATAATCTGCTCCACTAAAACGGGAACGCCGTCGTATCTTCCGCCTACTTAACTTGAAATATGGAGCAAAAGCGGACCGTAGCGATAGACTAAATGCCTCCCCGTGAAGCTCTCCACCGGCGGGCTCACTCCGATACTACTTTCCGTGTCGACGATCTTCTCCTCTTCGACCCTTCGGACCTCGACCTTTCCTCCCTTGACCTCCCTCCTTCCTCATCCAATCCCACTCATCACCGTTCCCACCGATTCCTCGGATGACTCCTCATCCAACGGCCAACCCTCTCGTTCCTCCCTCGGTAACCCTAGGCATATCTCTTCTCACCTCCGTAGTTTTTCTGTGGACTCTGATATCTTCGACGGACTGGGGTTGACTGGACCGATTACCGGAGGAGCTGGAGATGAGAAATTTGGCGGGAAAGCAGGGGTGGGAGGGAAGAGGGATCACCATAGGCATACTAACTCCATGGATGGATCTTTTGAGGTTTAGTCTTTGATGGTTGTCGACGGTATTAAGACAACTATTTGTCACGAAATTGGGCCTTTTCCCCATACTTTGGGCTATTTTGGCTATGTTGGGCCACACTTGGTCTTGGAGGTTGATAGAATAGTGTAGATTATTCTAGAACATTCAAGACTTGTACATATTCTATAAGCATTCTAGAGTCTTCAATGTTAGGTAGGAAATTATGGAGAATTCTAGAGAATCTCTCCCTACCGTAGGATCAAGTCAATCTCCACAGTCCATTGAGGAGGTGGGAGGCTATAAATAGATGTAGAATCCTCATTTATAAATCATCTAAGAGTTGTAAGCTTTCAAGCATATCAACAAGCTTTCTCTCAAAGTTCTTTCATTTCTTCTTTGTTTCCTTGCCAATCCTTTCCCACATTAGCACGAGTTTGAGTGAGGCTGACTTAGCTATCGCGAGGGGCGAAAAGGAGCTAAGGCCGCACAAGGCTTATTGAGAGATTAAGTCCGTGACAGTTGGTATCAGAGCCGGTAAAGGCGTCAATATCGTGCACGTGTCTTGTAGGAATGGCCAGGAACTCGAACGAGTCGACTGTTGCTGAGGAACGTGGGAGAGAAGTTGCACCCACCAACCCGAAGAATAAGAGGGACCAAAGTAAGGCCCGTGAGGGCGCTTCCTTAGAACTGATGGTGGCGGAGTTTGGCGAGAGAGGGTCCAGCACGACTTCAAGACGTTGGAGGACTATGTCTTTGAGCAAGTTGACACACTCAAAGGAAATGCCGAAGAGACCAACAACGAGGTGGAAGCTCGGTTCATACGGCTAGAGGATATGATCCAAGCCGTACATGAAAGCATCGAGGGGATGCGGGAGGACTTGACGCTCTGCAAGAGAGCTGCCGTTAGCGGGGGTGCTAACAATGTCTCCACCTCGAGGGTTGAGTGCCCCAAGCCGCAAGGGTTCAACAGGGCAAGGGACGCCAAGGAAGTCGAAAACTACCTATGGCGGATGGAGTAATACTTTGAGGGAATCGACCTTAACGATGAGGCCGCCAAGGTAAAGACCGTTGCCTTATATCTTTCTGATACTGCTATGTTATGGTGGCGTAGGAAACATGCCGACATTGAGCGAGGGGCTTGTCAGTTAGATATGTGGGATGAGTTCAAGAAAGAACTCAAGAAGCACTTTTATCCCGAGAATGTAGTCTACGAGGCTCGCAAGAAATTGCGGGAGTTGAAGCAACGGGGTATTATGCGGGACTATGTGAAAGAATTCACAACCCTTATGCTTCAAATTCCCAATATGTCCGAAGAAGATCTCTTGTTTTATTTCATTGACGGACTACAAGGATGGGCCAAGCAAGAGATGTATCGTCGGGACATTAGAACGGTTGATGAGGCCATCGCCGAGTCACTCATCGACTTCCAACCCTACTTCCACACCAATGCGGCGAAGAACAAGGATAAGTATCCAGCCAGAGGAGGGGGAGAACGACGGGAGAATAACCAAGGTAACCGAGACCGAGATCACCGAAGGCCACAAGCTAAAGAGGGAGATCGAGATCGACGTCCGGGTCGGAGGGACTACGAAGAGAAGAAAAAGACCTTCGTTCCTAAAGGAGGATGCTTCTTGTGTAAAGGGCCGCATCAGATGAGTAGCTGTCCCAAACTTGGTTCATTGTCTGCCATCGTCGATCGTCAAGACACAGAGTCTCAAGCCGAGATGGGATCACTCCAGGTTCTAAACGCCTTGAAGGGCAAGTTGTTGACACTGACACCAAGTAATGGGCTCATGTATATGGAAGCGGTGATCAACGAGAAGCCGACAAGAGCTATGGTGGACACAGGGGCTACCCACAACTTCGTGTCTAAAGATGAAGCCAACCATTTGGGCCTGAAGTACACTGAGAGCACAGGATGGCTCAAGATGGTAAATACACAAGCGACATCACTCTATGACGTGGCACGAGGGGTCGAGCTACGCTTAGGCACTTGGAAGGGTCGAATGAACTTTTCTGTCATTCTCATGGACAACTTCAAAGTCGTTTTAGGGTTGGACTTTCTCTGACAGGTAATCGCTATCCCTATGCCTTCCTTTAGTTCAGTTTGTATCTTGGAGAAAGGGTCTCCCTGCATGATCCCCACGGTCGAGGTACCGAAAGAGCAAGGTCGAGATGCCAAACAACTCTTGGCCATACAACTTGGTAGAGGCATCAAGAAAGGGGTCATGACTTATTTGGCCATGCTAAAGGAAGATAACAAGATCGAGAAAATGGATAATCTATCACCAATCATCCGTGAAGTCTTAGAGGAGAACAAGGACGTGATGCCACCTGAGTTACCAAATAAACTTCCACCAAGGCATGAAGTGGATCACAAGATTGAGTTGGAACCCGGTGCCAAGCCGCCTACCTTGGCACCTTACCGAATGGCCCCACCCGAACTTGAGGAACTTCGAAGGCAACTCAAGGAGCTAGTCGATATGGGAATGATTCGACCTTCGAATGCACCATATGGTGCACCGGTACTCTTCCAAAAGAATCACGATGGGTTGTTGCGCATGTGCGTCGATTACCAGGCACTTAACAAGGTAACCATTAAAAATTGCTACCCGATCCCTTTGATTGCCGATTTATTTGACAGACTTGGAGGAGCCAAGGTGTACACGAAGATGGACTTGCAAAAAGGCTACTACCAAGTTCGAATAGAAGAAGGCGATGAGCCAAAGACCGCATGCATCACTCGATACTGATCGTACGAGTGGTTGGTCATGCCCTTTGGTCTAACCAATGCACCGACGACGTTTTGCACGCTCATGAACAAGCTCTTCCAACCGTAATTGGACCAGTTCATGGTGGTGTACTTGGACGATATCGTGGTATACAGTAACTCTATCGGGGAACATATAGACCACTTGAGGATTGTGTTCAAGATACTTCGAGAGAACGAGCTGTATGTCAAGAAGGAAAAGTGCACGTTTGCCACCGAGGAAGTACACTTCCTTGGACATGTAATCGGCCACGGGAAGCTATTGATGGACGGGAGAAAAATCAAGGCCATAACCGAGTGGGAGCCGCCGACCAAGGTAAGTGAGATGAGGTCCTTCCTTGGTCTAGTAAATTATTATCGCCGGTTTATACAGGGTTACTCAGCACGAGCATCACCATTGACGGACCTACTCAAGAAGGGAAAGACGTGGGAGTGGTCCGAACAATGTCAGGAGACCTTTGAGGACTTGAAGGCAGTAGTTAGCCAAGAACCTGTCTTGGTCCTACCTGACTTTACCAAGCCATTCAAGGTGCACTCTGATGCATCCGAATTCGCTATCGGGTTAGTACTAATGCAAGAGGGGCATCCGGTAGCATTTGAGAGCCGTAAGCTGAATGACACCGAGAGGCGGTACACGCTGCAAGAGAAGGAGATGACGGTCATCATCCATTGCTTGCGAGTATAGAGACATTATCTACTCGGCGCGCACTTCACCATCAAGACCGACAATGTGGCGACGAGTTATTTTCAGACTCAGAAGAAGTTGTCACCAAAACAAGCTAGGTGGCAGGACTTCCTAGCCGAGTTCTACTGCACGTTGGAATACAAGTCGGGCAAAGCCAACGTCGTAGTCGATGCCTTAAGTCGAAAGACAGAGCTTGCCGCGATCTCTCTAGCCAAGGGAACCGTGTTGGAACCCATAAAGGAGGGCCTTGAGCAAGATCCAATGACGATAGAATTAGTCAAGCTGGCTAGCGATGGCAAAACCCAACGGTTCTGGGTAGAGGACGATCTACTCTACACCAAGGGACGGAGAATATATGATAGGGAAGCGGTGGCGGGTTGATGAACGTTGCTCTTATTGAAGATTCAAACCTAGAAAAGATCTAGACTTGATGAAGAACAATAAAGGATGAATGGGGAAGGTGGCGGCAATAGATATGGTTCTTTAGGGTTTATTTTTTGTGCTGGAAACAAGATAAAAAATAAGATTAAAATAAGATAAAGAAACGATAAAGGAATTGCAAATAAAATAAGATAACCAAGAAATCAAAAGATCTCCCTTATGAAGGTGAACGGTAAAGATGATTGATGACGTGGATGGATATGTGGAAAATCGATGGATAATGTCCTATCGAGCCCTCCTAGTCACAATGAAAAGGCAAACACGACAATATGGCTCTAACCAACCCTCCTAGTCGCGATGAAAAGGCAAATTGGAGTGTGAATATTAATCTCCCTCACAAGAACTTGAAAGATCTCAAGGAGAAGAAGCTTCGAAGGCACAAGGCAATCAGCACTTGCAAAAACAAACTCTCGTTGTATTGTTAATCAAAGAAATCTTGAATTACAAAGTTTAATGAAGCCTCCTTTATATAGGGGCTGAGTTCTAAAGGTCTTAAATAACTAATGAATAAAATAATAATAAACTAAACATATCTTAACTCTAATTCTTAATAAAATAATAATAACTAAAGATAATATTTTTAACCCAACCTTAATTCCTAATAAAATAATAAATCTAATCCTAAAAGATAATGCATCATCCTATATTAAGTTATATTACAAATAATCAATAAAAATATTGAAAATTCGTAATATTTACAAAATCCCGTATTAATCCCGTATAGGACTTTCTGCATGCACCATATTCAGTAAAATAGCCATATCTTGAGTTCCTGATATCGTATAGATGCGATTAAAGAACCATTGGAAAGATAAGAGACATACGGTCATATCTTAAGAAGACATCTTGACTAAATAATATCAGGATCCCATTCAAAAATTCGTCGTAAGTCTTCTTCTGTTCTGATCTTCTTTTCCAATGCTTGGACGAGTGGATCATTTGGAAGAGTTATTACTTCTTCCTTTGATGCGAGCCTTGTGATGCATGTATCATCCTCCTTTTCTTCAAAAAGATTCTACCTCAAATCTGAAACATTAAAGGGAGCAAAATTAGAATCGCTTAATGATTCATTCACATTATACTTACCGAATAGATATGCTTTGAATCTTCGAGACTTTGTTCTTTTAATAGGTTTGAGTAGAAACATTAGTCCAAAGAAGCATGTATTATGGACTCTGGTGCATGTATCATTCCCCCACACCTCAAAAGGATTCATCCTCGAATCTAAAAATCCAAAAGAAAGAGAATTAGATATGTTGAAAGAAAAACTTGTGAAACATTTACCAAGATCAATGTGATGTGTCGTTATGTGTTTTAGTCGAGGTTTCTTCTTTGTAGGAACTGTTTTCTTGTAGTCTTAAAATCCTCTTTTGCATACAAGTCTCGTAATCTGATGTTTAGGTTGAAATTCAACATGGTGCCGACCACTGTTGGCTTTCTGCATGATTACTTCAGATAATTTATCCATGGTTTTATTCTTGTGTGGCGAGAATGAGTGTTTAAAAACCAGGTCAACTGGTTTGTTAAAGTAATCTCTTAAGTCTCCTAATTGTGGTTCATGAATTAAGAATTCTCTGGAGGAGATTTGTGGACTGTAAAACCTGTTTAGTTGGCAAGGAAACTCATATAAAAGATAAAGCTCATTAGAAACACTTTTAAAAGTATGGGTAGAAATATCAAAAATATCCAAGTTATTGTGATATACATCTTTGATATATTCAATTCTCGGAATAGTAGTATGCGTTTGATAGGTAAGAGTATACCTTCGTGGTAGTGCATTGTCTACTGTATTTTGCTTACCTCGGTCTGTTACGCACTTAAAGGAGTTGTGTTTAGTATGGATGACAACATCACGAGCCTTACCTTGTAAAAAGGAGAAGAAGTACGTTACATTGTCATTAAAATGAGTAATAAAATACTTACCTTTGGACTCCCGTAAATCGTGACTCTTCATTGATATGGCACAGTGATTAGGGCTTTCAGGTGGTAACCCGTCAGGAGGGTCACCTAATATTATTCGACAACTCTTGGCTATGGAAGATGGTGTGGGCCAGTCTCGTGTTGCTTTTACAATTTCATCATTTACATGGATTTCCTGTGCACAAACTATAAAGCCTGTAGAGTTGTTCAAATCATGTTTCGTCATTAAGTTGGCGTTACGACTAAGGCTTTCTTGGATGTAGCCTTTTTGTAACAAATCCAACTCTTTGGTTTCTTCGAGATTGTATGTTTGATGAGGTATGATGGAACCTTGAATTAGATTGGTTTGGAGTTGTTTTCCTCTTTTCAGTGGTAGTTCGTTAGGTAGATCACCTAACACTTCTCGAAAATCCTGTAAAATAGATGAAAACACACTAGGCAAATCCTTGTTAATGTTAGAAATCGAAATAATTGATTCCCTAAAGTGAACAAGGATGCAAGGCTATTTGTAAAGAAAGTTCTCTCTCAATTCTTTTGTGCTCACATATAGATTTTTAGTCACTCTTTTCTTCTCACATTTAGGTTCACTCACCTCCCATGGGTCATTATTCTTTTGGCTTTTATAATTAGTGACCTCTTTTGCTTTTGCCTCTTTCTCAACTTTTTCTTTTTTTGCTTTCCCTACCTCCTCACAAATTATCATTTGATCTTTAAGGACTGGAAGTGTGTCATTCTTTGCTGGTCGTTCTTTCTCCTTGTCAGGTTTGTCATCTCTTGGCTTTTTTAGAGAAGATAGAGTAGAAGATGAGGAATGATTTGAAGGATTACTTTGGTAAGAGGATGAAGTACCTTGGTAATGTTCACTAAATCGAGATCTCCTTTGGGTTTGTGCTTCGATTGTCATTGCTTTCTTTAGTGCATCTTCAAGGTTTTCGTACCCTTGTAGATCAAGAAGATCAATGATGTTTGAGTTTAAGCCGACAATGAATCTTGACATGGTGACCTCTTCTTTTTCGGTTATGTTAGCCCTATTGAGTAAGGACTGCATCTCCTTATAGTACTCTTCAATTGAACTTCTACCTTGTCGAAGTCGGTCTAGTCGTAGTTTAACTTCTCGTGTATAATGTGTCGGTAGGAATCGCTTCCTCATGGTTTGTTTGAGGTCGGTCCAAGAAGTGATTGTTGGAATTTGGAAGTTCTGGATCTTTTTCCTTGTTTGCATCCACCAAGTTCGAGCATATCCTTCGAATTCTGTGGTGATGAGGTGAACTTGTTTAGCTTGGGGGCAGTCATGGTATGCGAACATGAGATCAACTTTTCCTTCCCATTCAATGTACATGTCTGGATCATTGTCTCCTTTGAAAGACAGGACCGTGAACTTTTGTTTTGTAAAGAGTTCTGGTGCTTGAAAACGTGGTTGTTCTCGCTCAGGTACCAAGAGTTCAGCATTGTTTGGTCTTGGATTCTGGTTTGGTAGATCCAGTTGTGGTTTTTATCGTTCTCTCACGATTTCATCAAATCTTTCAACTTGAGTCGTGAGTCGGGTAAGTGTGGCTAAGATATCCGTAAGTGTCTTGTTGTTATTGTCTCCCATCCTGAAATCATAATACTCAAAAGAAAATTTTAAAGTAAAATAAAAATAAAAGGAAGAAAATTCAACAAAGCAAGAAACCTCACAAGTCACTCCAAGAAAGTAACACAACGAGAGGCAAGTAAGCCGATCTTGTACTCTTTAAAACTCACTTTACCAAGTAGTCTTCCACAGTTCGTATCGGAGTTTGATTACTAGCACATGCGATAAGAAAAAACTTAAAAGTTGTAAGAGGCCAAACAAGGGTTAGACTCCAAGAGAACGAGAATGCAAAGAAGGAAGAAGTATGCAAACTCTTTAGTCCTACTAACACAAGAAATATAATGTGTTAGATAATGCACAAGAACAATAAAAAGAAAAAACAAAAGAACTTAAAGCAGCAAGAGAAAGAAAAAAAAAGGAACCAACCCAGAAACCTGGAAAATGCTGGATCAACTTGAGAAACGTTTTTGAGGGGGTTACCGGTGTCCAAAAATTTTGGGAAAATTCTTGAATGTCTTTCTATGCGTCAAGAAACCACCTGTAAAATTTCAGAACCAAATACCTTTAGTAGTATCCAGTGGACTCTGTTGAATGGTGAGTCCTCAAACAATCTGTTTTTCTTGATCGCTTTGTTCGAAGGTGTTCTTGATCTCCACATATTATGATTTTTTGTGTAAATGATCTTCAATATATGAAGTTACAATCTGGAAATTTTCACCACGAAATTCTTCCTGTAGAATTTTCAAGAAATTCGACAAGATCCTAGACCGAATCTACCGATGAAACTTGAAGAATGTATTTGAAGGCTCTAATGAACTCCGATTTGGGTAAATTTCAGACTGGAGATTTATATTAGGATGAATATGATATCTGGAGAAAATCAGCCCTAAATATCTTTGTTTACAATTTTTTTTTGAAATTTTGGTTTTTTTTGTTTTTTTGTCTTTTTTTTTTTGTTTTTTTTAAATAGCAAACTAACAAGAAAGATTTGAATCTAAATTAAAATTAAATAAAAAGAACCTGAAACGATGAATCTTTTCTGGACTAGCTCCGTTAGGATACCTTGACGGTTTTGTGTGCAAGAACAAGCAAGATTGCTTGCTTCTTTTCAAGAATCGGCCCAACTCTGATATCAATTGATAGGGAAACGGTGGCGGGTTGATGAACGTTGCTCTTATTGAAGAATCAAACCTAGAAAAGATCTAGACTTTATGAAGAATAATAAGGGATGAATGGGGAAGGTGGCGGTAATAGATAGGGTTCTTTAGGGTTTCTTTTTGGTGCTGGAAACAAGATAAAAAAATAAGATTAAAACAAGATAAAGAAAAGATAAAGGAATTACAAATAAAATAAGAAAACCAAGAAATCAAAAGATTTCCCTTATGAAGTTGAAAGGTAAAGACGATTGATGACGTAGATGGATATGTGGAAAATCGATGAATAATGCCCTATCGAGCCTTCCTAGTCGCAATGAAAAGGAAAACACGATAATATGGCTCTAACCAACCCTCCTAGTCGCGATGAAAAGGCAAATTGGAGTGTGAAGATTAATCTCCCTCACAAGAACTTGAAAGATCTCAAGGAGAAGAAGCTTCGAATGCACAAGGCAATCAGCACTTGCAAAAACAAACTCTCGTTGTATTATTAATCAAAGAAATCTTGAATTACAAAGTTTAATGAAGCCTCCTTTATATAGGGGTTGAGTTCTAAAGGTCCTAAATAACTAATGAATAAAATAATAATAAACTAAACATATCTTAACTCTAATTCTTAATAAAATAATAATAACTAAAGATAATATTTTTAACCCAACCTTAATTCCTAATAAAATAATAAATCTAATCCTAAAAGATAATGCATCATCCTATATTAAGTTATATTACAAATAATCAATAAAAATATTGAAAATTCGTAATATTTACAAAATCCCGTAATATTTACAAAATCTCGTATTAATCCCGTATAGGACTTTCTACATGCACCGTCTTCAGTAAAATAGCCATATCTTGAGTTCCCGATATCGGATTGATGCGATTAAAGAACCGTTGGAAAGATAAGATACAGACGGTCGTATATTCAGAAGACATCTTGACTAAATAAGATCAGAATCCCATTCAAAAAGTCGTCGTAAGTATGCTTCTGTTCCGATCTTCTTTTCCAATGCTTGGACGAGTGGATCATTTGGAAGAGTTATTACTTCTTCCTTTGATGTGAGCCTTGTGATGCATGTATCATCCTCCCTTTCTTCAAAAATATTCGACCTCGAATCTGAAACATTAAAGGGGGCAACATTAGAATCGTTTAATGATTCATTCACATTATACTTACCGAATAGATATGCTTTGAATCTTCGAGACTTTGTTCTTTTAATAGGTTCGAGTAGAAACATTAGTCCAAAGAAGCATGTATTATGGACTCTGGTGCATGTATCAATATATGTTCCAAAGTGGGACAACTTAAGGCGAGATCTTATCAAAGAGTGCCATGACACCAAGTGGGCTGGTCATCCGGGTCAAAAGCGCACTATGGCATTGCTAGAGACAACATACTTTTGGCCCCATATGAAGGATAGTGTGGAGCTTTACGTGAAGACTTGTCTTGTGTGCCAACAAGACAAAGTAGAGAACCGACAGCCGGCGGGATTACTCGAACCTTTACCAGTTCCCCAAAGACCTTGGGATTCAATCACGTTGGATTTCATTAGTGTATTACCCAAGTCCGAAGGATACGGTTCGATCATGGTCGTTGTGGACCGATTTTCTAAGTATGGGACTTTCATACCATGCCCCAAGGATTGCACTGCGTAGAAGGCCGCGCGAGCGTTTTTTAAGAACGTCGTGAAGCATTGGGGCTTACCAAGGAGCATCATCAGTGACCGAGACCCTCGATTCACCGGACGCCTATGGACGTAATTATTCAAGCTCCTTGGCACCGAGTTAAATTTCTCCACAAGCTTTCACCCTCAAACTGATGGGCAGACCGAACGGGTAAACGCTTTGTTGGAATGTTACTTACGGCACTTCGTGAGTGCTAACCAGCGAGATTGGGCAAAGTTGCTAGACGTCGCCCAATTTTCTTATAACCTGCAGCGGAGTGAAGCCACAGGCCGAAGTCCATTCGAGCTTTCGACCAGACAACAACTGCTCACGCCGCACACATTGACAATGCCACTTGATGAGGGAAAAAGTCCCAGAGCCACCAAGATGGCTAAGTCATGGGAGGAGAACGCCGATATCGACCACGCATGTTTAGAGAAAGCGAGGAAGAAGATGAAGAAGTGGGCGGAACAGAAGATGCGACATCGAGAGTTCTCCGTTGGAGACTTAGTCCTTGTGAAGCTTTTGCCACAACAGTTCAAAGTTCTCTGAAGCGTTCACAAAGGACTAATACGGAGATACGAGGGACCGTTCCAGGTACTTGCCAAGGTGGGTAAAGTGTCTTATCGCTTAGACTTGCCAAGTACACTTAAGATTCATCCGGTCTTCCATGTAAGTATGCTCAAGCCATATCATGCCGACAAGGAAGACCCATGCCGAGGGTATTCGCATCGAGCACCTCCCGTAGTAACCAAGTACTACGACAAAGAGGTGGAAACGGTGCTCACAAGCAGGACGGTCCGTAAGAGAGGAGTCCCACCGCATACCGAGTATTTAATCAAGTAGAAAGGACTACCAGAGTCCGAGGCAACATGGGAACTAGCTGAAGACTTGTGGAAGTTCGAAGAACATCTCAAAGCGTACGAGGCGACGAGGACGACGCCAGAATAGGTGGGGGAGAATGTCACAAAATTGGGCCTTTTCCCCACACTTTGGGCTATTTTGGCTATGTTGGGCCACACTTGGTCTTGGAGGTTGATAGAATAGTGTAGATTATTCTAGAACACTCAAGACTTGTACATATTCTAGAAGCATTCTAGAGCCTTCCATGTTAGGTAGAAAATTATGGAGAATTCTATAGAATCTCTCCCTACCGTAGGATCAAGTCAATCTCCACAGTCCATTGAGGAGGTGGGAGGCTATAAATAGATGTAGAATGCTCATTTGTAAATCATCCAAGAGTTGTAAGCTTTCAAGCATATCAACAAGCTTTCTCTCAAAGTTCTTTTCTTTCTTCTTTGTTTCCTTGTCAATCCTTTCCCACATTAGCACGAGTTTGAGTGAGGCTGACTAAGCTATCGCGAGGGGCGAAAAGGAGCTAAGGCCGCACGAGGCTTATTGAGAGATTAAGTCCGTGACATATTGCTCCTGATAGACTTGCTGAGCTTGCTCTTATTGATCCCAAGAGAGCTAAAAGGTTATCTGTTTTTGTTTACAACGTACTATTTTTTAAATTAAGTGAAAATTTTCAATTAAAAGGAAAGGTTGTTATATGGTTTTCTTCTTCTTCTTCCTTCTGATCGTTTCTTCACCAAAAACAAGTTCGTTTTTGCCTCCTTGGTCAACCCTTCCCCTTGTTTTGTAATGTTTTATTTCTTTTGGATATTAGTTTGCAGTATAGTAGTAATTACGTTGCTTACTAAATGAAGTTCGTTTTGTGTTGTAGGATCCTGGATAACAGGCAATCGGCTGCACGCTCGAAGGAGAGGAAGATTGGATACACGAATGAGCTTGAGAGGAAGGTTCAGACACTTCAGTCGGAAGCTACCAATCTCTCGGCGCAGGTCACAATGTTACAGGTAACTGCATTTTATGCCTTCTCAGTTTGGCTTTACAACTCTAAAGTCCAAAGTCAAACTCAGACATTTTGCTCCTTTCTAGAATATGAACTTTTTCAGGTTCTTGTATTCAAAATTTCAAATGGTACTATTTATTTATTCTCTTCTTATTATTATAATATCATACCTCAATCATTTATAGAGGGTTTTCCAAAGTCAAAGTCATATCTTCTTTAGTTGTATTTAATTGTATGTGTCATAGCTTCTGGTTGTGGACTTACTATGCACATATTATTATATGCATGAAACTCCTGCTAGCGTATTCATTTGTAGGTCAAATCACATCTGCGATTATTGGAATAATTGTTAATGAAATTTTCCATTTTATTTGGAACTTATTGAATTTACTACTATTTCAAAGAACTAGTAGTTCTCTGGAGAAAAAAAAGGTAGTGGTTTTAATTTCTTGGGAGGAAGAACCCTAAAACCAACTTGAACTTTGAAGAGGAAAATCTTTATGCGACCGTTTTCAACTTCCATATGATAGAATCCTCTTCATTGCAATGCAAGAACGGTTCAATGTAATGGACTTATATTTCTGCTTCTGGGTAATATAATCTATGTTGTCAGCCACTTTGGACCTTCTTGAGAAGTTCCATTTTGTTTTTTATTTTACAAATAACATACTTAATTACCTTATATCACGATCATTGATTAATCCCTAAGTAAGACGAGGGAAAATTGCTATGTACTGCATGCTGAAATACTTGTGCCATAGAATATTTTGAGGCATTATTTAGGAATCATTTTCCAACTTTAAATCTACCAGCCAGTTCATGGTGTCCACCACCCTGTGTTGCATCGGCTGAGACTCTACTTTTGGTCGATAATTTGATATTCATCTGACACATGTGAAATGTAATTTTTAATAGTTTTTTTTCATTATACTTTGAGGGCCAGATGTGTGATTCATGATAACCAGCTCTACTTTAAACCCATTTGTTCAATGGGGATATGTTAATGGGAATGAGATCTAAGTAACTCAGGTGTATTATTAGGCAAATAATCTTATTGTGTTTAGTAATAAAATCTGAGTTCTTGTGTTTTATGATCTTTTTTAGTGCTTTTAGGGTGTACCACAATATCACATAATATATAAGGGAAAAGCAATATTTAGCATTCTTGAGGTGGATTCGTGCCTTCTCTTTTTTGAAAGAAGATCCATGCCTTTTTAAGTGCTGAGAATAAAGAAACTTCATGCACTTTTCTTATTCCCGCCTAGGAAGGAGAGGAAGGTACAAGTCTCCTTTTTGCAATAGCTTTTCAACTGTTCCATGTCAGAGCTTCTTCGGTTCTGCTCCCACAACAATATTAGGATTGTTAACTAGATATTTTATTCTGTTAGTTATTAGATAAGATCAGTTTTAATTAGATAGAATCATTTTTTTATTCTGTTAGTTATTAGATAAAATCAGTTTTAATTAGATAGAATCAGTTTTATTCTTTTGCTAATTTTATGCATCTTTTTATGTAAAGTTGTTACATTATAAATTCTATTTAATTCAGTCATATTCGACAGAAATAAAATAGATTCATTCGGAACAAGTTTTTTTCTACTTTAATAGGCCGTTCACACGCCTAGAGAATGACATTTCTGTAATAAAATAGGGCTAGTTGGGTTTGGTCAATTTCAGTCCATTACATCTCTGAAAGGTGCCTTTGGATTCTGCACCTTCTGAAAAAGATGTTTGATAACCATCACTTACTCTTGAGTCCTCCAGATGTTTTCAAGTTAGTTGAGGAATGAATAGAGTATTACTATCTAATTAACTTTTGTCTGTTCTGTATGTGACCGTGTTGCATGTGGATACATTTCAATACATATTAGATGTATATCCTGCAAAGCACATACTTAATTGACTCTATCAATTAGTCAATGTGATATTTTATTTTTTTAACAATGAAGAGCATTTATAAGTATATGTTTTGCATGGTTGCATTTGGTTGATGTGACACACTCATGTCTATGTCTAAATTGTTAATTGATTATTGTGTGAATGACTGCTCCTTCTGATTTCTTGCTTTAATTTCTCTCTTGGCCATTTGCATTTCTGGTTATCTTGCACCTAATGATGTGACTGTACTTCTAGATTCCTATCAACTTATTTCTTCTGAAGTGCCCACAGTGAAGGGAAACAATTCTAATATATTTCTACTGTGTGATGCAGAGAGACACTACTGGGTTGACTACTGAGAATAAGGAACTCAAACTACGGCTGCAGGCTATGGAGCAACAAGCAAAGCTTAGGGGGTATGTATGTTTTTCTCATTTTTTTTCAGTAGATAAAGAGATTATACGGGTGGGTGGGAGCTTCATAAGTGAACTGATTACCAATTTGTAGTTGGCAAAACCATCAAAATTCTGTCATTTCGGAGTTAAGCGGTTGCATCATGTGGGTCCTCTGCATTTCATAATTTACTAAATAAGTTGTGAATTTAGAACTGTAAGCAACTTGGTTAATACGTGCCATTTTTGTTTTCATGTGGTTTTTAGATGCCATATAGGTATTGTCTTAAATCATTTCTTTTAATGTATGTATGTAACCAATTCCTGTTAGGTCGTCAAGGCTGTCCAGATAGTTAACAAACTAGGTTTTGAAGATATCTTATTCATATAGCATTTAAATTCCTGTTGTTTGCAGCACTGAATGATGCATTGAGGGAAAAAGTGCAGCAGCTTAAGATACAAGCCGGCCAAATGTCAGCTATGAATGGAAATCCGTTCAACGGAGGAAGGCATCCTCAATTTCCCCACCAATCTGCTACACACTTTGGTGTCCAGCAGCAGCTACAGATGCCTCAGTCATCCACCAACCAAACTCTCAATGGGCAGCCTCAAACTCGCCTCATGGATTTTAATCACCACACTTAAATTTCACGTTGGAAGAAAATTAATTCAAGGCATCATCTTGTACATGGAAATATGTATATATATGCATTTCAGGTTGAGGTTGTGGAGTGTTTGCTTGGTTCAGTCCCTTTATGTCCAGGAATTGCTTTATCATCCGTTGGAATAGATATGAAATTAAATTTGTTGTTTAGCTGAGATTAGGTCCTAATTCCATCGTATAATGGATGGCTAGATGATATTGCAGCTAATTTTTATAATATATAGAATAATTATCCTCAGGAGAGGTGATGTATGACAGTGACTGATGTATAAATCGTGTTTCTTCACTTATTTTGGTATATCTAGTTGTATCATAGTCTGGCTGATGTTCTTGGCACTAAGTCGATCCTTCTTTTAACTAATTCATTCAAGCAAAGACCATCACAATTCACATGTAAAACCTAAAGCTCTTTTCCTGGCACTCCTCAAGCATTAACTTGTGAAACAAATCTAGATTTCACTAAAATCAAGCGTCATGCTACAATGACGCAGAGGAATAATTCTGAATATAGAAAGAAAAACTATTTTGTCACTTGTGTAGAGCACAAACACAATTCTCTTTCCCTATATTTGCAACAATACAAGGAGACTGCTGGCCTTGATACCAGGTTGATCTGTTTTCAACTAATTCATTCAAGAATACATCCAGCTTCTCCATGCTCACACTAGGCATCACCACCACGTGTGCTATATTCCCTTTACAGGCAAGTTGCCACCTCCGAACAAACTCATCCCGGGGCCTCTCAAACACGACAGTACCACTCAATTCATTTAACATAGCGCCGATTCCAGCTACACGCAGCCGGTTATTCAAGTAGTGAGCGTTTCGGAGACTTCTGGACTTCCTTTTGAAATCCTCCGTAACCTTTTTCGGTTGAGAGTATACCAAAGGAAAATAGGAGCATGACCATTCCGGCTTCCCATAATTGTAGCATCCCTCGATGTGAGGTATTCAACATTGCTTGAGAGTTCATTGATGTGTTCCATCCTCGTAATTTGAACACCACAAGGCATTGGACAACCCACAAACTTGTTCTGTTCACCATCAAGAATATCAAGCTCAAACTGGTAATGAGATCCACAAGACGGGGCGAGAGGTAACATAATAAGATAGGAGTCCGAGAAACAAACTGATGTACGATTATAAACAAAATCATCTGGCTCGGAGACCAGAGTCCATAGACAAGCTTAGTAATCATGTTAATTCCTTTTAAACATGTCAACGAACATGAAGACATACCATTTTACATTCTACAATTCCCAAGTTAAAAAATCACAAATTATTAGTAGTCTAGTTATACTCGTGTGATTAAGGAACAACTGAGCTATGCTATCCTCCCTCAAATCCACATCAAAACAACTATAGATGTGATTAACTTACCCGTTTGACGAAAGGCATCATGAGTCCAAACAAAGCTCCATCACAATGAATGTAGCCTGTCATGTGAAAATCCACATCCTTCAAGGGTTTGTATCACAAGATCAAGGTCATCTACAGCCCCTTTGACAGTTGTTCCTACAGTAATGAGTAAACAATGTCAAATCTCTCATTTGAACAAAATTCATTTCTTTTTGTTGGAATTAACCCGTGCAAGTGAGGATGTTTTTGCACCGGAGCAATACACACAATATATATATATACAGAGAGAGAGAGAGAGAGAGAGAGAGAGAGAGACCTATGTTCGCATTGATTATAGCTGGTTTGTCCCTGTTAGCAAGTAACTTAGATCTGAAATCAGTGCAATCGATCTCACCCGAGACTAGGGTATCAACCTTCACACACTCCATTCGATACATTCTTGCTGCTTTAAAGATAGAGTAATGTGATTCCCTTGATGCATACAAAATCCCATCTGGAAGCACTTCCCTTCTGCGAAATTCAATCAGTTTTTTCCACCTTCCAATTGAAATAAGATTACAATGTTTGGAAAGGAAGTACCAAGTAACCAATGTTCAGGAAAAAACTAACCCAACTAAAATTCCATGAAGATTGCCTTCTGTAGTTTGTAATGTAACCCCAGTAATCATTCTTCTCTATTTCCCACAAACTGGCAAACCAATCTAACACACCAACTTCAAACTGCCTTGAATGAACTCCGTAGTTGCTCGCGATGAACGGATCTCCAAGATTGTTGATCGAGAAATGCTGTAATTGAGCCAGTGTATGGTTTTTAAATTACATTTAAATTTTTAAATAAAATTGAAATGCTTAAATCACATCAGTAATAAAAAAATAATTTTATTATTTGATAATATAAATTTTCGGATGTCAAAAATTATAAATTTTTTATTTTAAAAATACAACAACAATTAAATAAATAATTAGTTGTAAAATAATTTTTACTTAATAAAAAAGCTAACTTCATCGTTTGATAACTGATTTTTTAAAAATATTTTTTAATTTTAAAAATAATTTATTTTCATATTTTTTAAAAAAAATTAAAATTTTAATTTTTTTTAGAATTACTACTTAAAAATGTTCAAAAATATTAAAGTGAAATTTTAGTTATAATTAAGGGGTTAAATAAGATATTTTTCATTAATTTAATATGTTATTCATCTATTAATAACATTTAAAGTTTAATGTCTATTTTGTAACTTTTAAAAATTTAATGATAAAAAAATTAATTTAAATATTTTTGTGATTATTTATGAATTCTACCCTATTTTATATTAGTGATGTATTCAATGAATATAACTAGTTATAAACTCATCCTATAAGCCCAGAGAAGCTGCCATCTCACCGGCGACAACAACGCCCGAGGATAGCCACCAGTTGCAGCGCGAGCTCATGGCAGCTGCATCTGAGAAACGGATGCTGGCTGCCGCTAATAGCGCTCCGTCTTCTAGTTCTACGTCAAAAATCGTAAAGAGCAGAGGTTTAGGAGTCAAAGAGGCCGAAATGAAAGCCAAAGAAGTTATTTTAGGCGGTGAATTGTCAGGGAAAGAAGCCTATCATTTATTTTCAATGGTTTTCGGAAGTGGCGTTTCAAAGGGTATACTTGCTCAGTGGAGCAATCAGGTATAAGGTGAAATGTAGTGTTTTACTATTACTTTAAGATTTTGATTTTGATTTTAATTATTTTTTTTATAAAAAAAGCTTACTACTCGGAGATTGGGAGTTACTTAAAGAATTAAAATTGCTGGCACGATTGAATTTTCCTTGTTTATTGTGATCAAGGATATTGACCCCAGATAAATTGGAGACCTAAATTGCAATTGAAAATTGTTACACTAGCATCAAGCTGGAGTGGATTATCATATGCTATAGACTGTTCTCTTCATATCAGACTGATGGAATTTTTGTACTTCATTTCGATCTCTTATGCATAATGTAGTTGGTGGAAGGTATAGTCTTAGTTTATGAGGTAAACAATCTTTTATCTGGAATAAAGCAATATTAGTTAGGAGTCTATCTATGTTTGGTGATAGTGTTATTTTTTCTCCCATGTTTTAGTACGAGTTAGAAATAAACGAACTTTGTTTGCTAATTTTTAGCCACTCACGTGACTTGGTTTGAATAAAGTGAATAAATATATTTTTTTGTTTTGAATATGTATTATTTTTACTTGAGCTTTTGCCTATCTTTCCAATTTCAAGTTTAGATTTGTACCAATTCTTCTTTATGATATAACAAACTATTTTAAAAGTGATGTAATACTTAAGATTTCCTTGTGCTAATACTTATGTAACCAAACGTAGCATAAATGTTCTCTTCTTTGGTATCTTTAGATAATCCGGATGCTTTTCATATGAATTGCAGGAATAAAGAACACTTCCTATTATGCACATGTTTATCTCATGGCAAACTGATATGAATGGTTAGGATGATTAAGGTTAACTTCAAGGGTTTTTTAGTGAAGAACTCTGGTATAGTTGACTAATAATTAGAATTTGTTTCGGAAATGGGTTAAGAATTGATGAAGAAATTGGGGATTTAGAAAACCACATTGGAGAGCTGTCCTGATATGATGAAGAATACCCGTGAACAGCGTTGGGAACAATATTGAGCAGTTTCGAAGTTTAGTTTGGTCTTGTGCATATTTCAGTTAGGTTAAAACCTTGCAATGGCTTAATGCTAGCCTAGTTCAGATAATGCCGGAAAGGATAACTTTTCAGCATGATTCATAAGGTTCCACAGGCCTTTTATGCTTAGGTTGCTACATATCAGTTATACCTATGTTATTTGAAAGAACTTACAGCTTATATGTTAATTTATGAAGTTATAGAATATCTTTAACTTAAACTTGTTATTTTCACCAGTGATGCACTTTACTTATTTTTACACATTCTTTGGGATGTTAGTTAAGAAATATTCGATTGATACATGATTTGATGGCCTAATGCAAAGCTATTAGGGTGGGCCTTGTGCTACATTCTTTAGAATGGCCACCTTATGTAACTTTGTTTCTTTTCTGATGTTTTTCACTTGATAAATATTCAATGCCGCTTCTGCCGACAATAATTCGTCTCTGCCCAGGCATTTGTTCTTAAACATCTTCTTTTCTTTCCGGATGAATTGGGTAAAGTTGCAGCGAACAAGCCACGGAAATTGAGTTCCAGGAGATCAGCCAAAAGTCAATATGTTGTGTCAAATAATTTTTCTGCTTTTACTGAAGATGCAAAAACAAGGTGATTGCAAAATTCCTTCTTATTCTTGCCTTTGTATTTACTTCATCAATCATCTAATTATCTCCCACATATTTCAAAGTTCCTTCTATTGATTGCTTTCATGAATGATAGAATCAGGATTGCTAAAATTGTTGTCTGCTCACGAAATTGGAAATTGGAAATTGGGAAGAGGTATAATTCCTGATCTCGATAGGTGAAGTCAAGTGGCATGTTCGATTTCTCATTTGTTGGTCTCTTTCCTGAGGCATATTGTTGGTCTCATTTGTGTGGACTGATAGCGGTATATGTTTTGCATTGTTTCTGCAATAATCAGTCTGGGCGGAATATTTGCTTTTTTATTCAAGTTTTGCAGTTGTTTCATAACTCATATTTTCCTTTTCCCTGATATCTATTTTGGCTAAAATTTTGTTTCTGAACACAGAGCCCTGGTTAAAAGGACGAGTATCTTATGTGGAAATAACGAAAGAGCTGTAATTGCGACTTTAAGTGTTGTTTCTGACGGCATTGAAGGATCCGAAGGCAGCCCAAAGGATGTTGTTAGTGGAATTGAGTTTACCTGAATATGCTAATAAATTGCCGCTATGCCCTGTTTTGTGTTATTAATTGCTGATAATTGTTTATGATTTTCAGTTCATCGTGCAAGCACTTGAAGCCTTTCAATTGAATCAGCTTCTGATTTGCAGAAAGTTCTAAGAGTAGACACGTTCACATCGTCTACAAGTGCCTTTAAGAGGCTTGAAGCAATTATTCCCATTTTTCAAAGTCGCATGGGAGCACTGCTATTCCTTATCTCGGCATTACTTTCTCGAGGGCTGGTGAGTTTGTTGGCTTTAGAACTCCATTTTATTTTCATCTTCATCAATATATTGGTAGTTCAGAAAGAATTTCAAGAGGAAGCATATACCGGTATGTCCAGTGTTAAGATTTTGTTTGCATGTGTATGTAATTTTATCCGTGCTTCCTCCTTTCTCTAGGACTGTGTTAAAGCTGATCAGGATGATCCCAGCCTACCCCTTGTAACTGCACCATTTGGCCATGCTTCTCAGGTAGTAAATTGTGTATATATATCGAATGGACAGGGCTTCAATATCTTGAAATTGGTATTGCCGTTCTTGATGCATTCCTCCGTTGTAATTGCATTTTATACAACAATATTTCAGGAAATTGTTAACTTATTGCTCTGTGGGCAAGCTGTTCCAAATGTATTTGACGGGAGGATGGATTTAGGTGGTGGCATGTTTCTGAAGGGTATACCTACAAGTGAGGAGGTTGGATTCCTCACTCTTCTAGAATCCCTTAATTTCTGTAAGGTTGGTCAAAATCTGAAGTGCCCGAAATGACTAATATGGGTTGTTGGAAGTGAGTTTCGCACTATACAGTCCTATTTGCTTGGGATACAGCTGTTCAAGATGAATATGAACTAGAAGGAAGGGAATTACAGGTCCGGAAAGCATTTGATGCCCGGGATCAGAGTGGAGGTGGTGGCTTTATCAGCGTGGAAGCTTTCCATCAAGTACTCAGGGAGACAAGTATCCGACTTCCATCCGACAAACTCGATAGCCTTTGCGGCTCGGGCTTCATTGTATGGAGTGAGTTCTGGAATGTTATTTTGGATTTGGACAAGAACATGGGAAGTCTAACGGATTCAACCGGACAGATGGGTAGAAAGATATTTGATCTTTACCATTTCAATGGAATTGCAAAATCAGATTTGAACGGCAGCTAAGCAACAGTTAGAGGTGAGTCTCCGATAAAAAGACCCAGGCTTACGAAATTGAGGGTTTCAGTAACCCCAAGGTGGACCTCAGAGGAATTCATGACGGATGCAGCAGTGCTCCGTGGTACAGTGGGGAGTGAATCAAGTGAAGTGGCTAAGCCCGAACAACCTCCACAGCATGCACCATTGGTGGACTGCATAAGAACTCGCTGGCCTCGTGCTGTTTGTAATTGGATTGGGGACGCTCCCGGTATAGTCTGAGTGAATATTAATCAATCACCTCAGTGTTCTTGGTGTCCAGGAACATGCTGGAACGAAACTTAAATGAGACAGAAAAAGCGGCAAGGTGGTAAAACCTGCTTCATCACAAACGACGGGGCAGTGTTATTTTTCCTGGTTTACTTAGTTTCAGGTTATGTTGTGTATTTGCTGTAATCATTGACATTCGAGTTCAATTTTCACGTGTTAAATGTTAAATGCCAAGGCAGAAAAAAGGTTTTACATCAATCAAATGAGCATTCATTCAGATTTGATTTTGTTGTTAGTGTGTAAGCATTTTGTAGTGCAAATGTATTTTGTCACTGCAATTTATGAATTGTCATTTTATCTTTTTTACAATATTGAACTAAAAATGTTTAGTTAAGAAGATTTTTTTTTTTTTTTTGATAGAAATTAGTTAAGAAGATAAAACGATGTGAAGCAATGCTAAGCATTACAAATGTAGCCTAGAATTTCATGTCCAAATGGTCCATGTTCCAATCTTTAGCAGACAATGAAAAAGAGTTGTTCATTACCCCTTTTGTCAGAAATTGGATGATCATAAAGAATTATCAATTATCTAAAAATGCACAAATGTTTCATCAATATGTAGCAATAATCTTTTCAGGGGTCAATGATGATACTATATGAGCAACAGCCTAGTTTAAGAAATTCGACAAAAGGTGATCCATTCCCAGAAAGTGTGCTAGAAACTTCCCTTCTCCTAATCAAGCAGTCCGTAGAGGTGGAGAAACTAGTATGACTCCATCTCCCCTTACAAAGAGAAATGGAACAGTGCGCTTTGTAGTCTGAAATTAGGATAAAATAGGATCATCATCCAAAAACATGAAATTTCTCTTTTAACACCCTAAATTCATGTTCACTTGAAATCTCCGGTTTCAACTTTCATAGGATAAGTTCATGTTTTTCCTTGTGAATAAATGTAACAGCTAAGCCTAATAAAAAGGATCAAGCATTCTTCATGGTTAATATGGGGTTAACGAGAATGGCATCAAAGTTCTAATGACACCACTAGAGCCAACACCTAGTAAAGCTCACCTTCTACCTCTAGTTCATATATTAGTTTTCAAAACAAATATTACTCGTATTGAATGGGAACACAGATATGATAACCTACCCGAACAATCTCCTCATAGGTTTCATCATCTATTTCAACTGTGGTAACAACCTCTTCAACATCCCCTAGAATCATATTCAAATGCTGATCATAAGCCTGCAAGCCACATTAGAGAAGAACTAAGCATCAAAATGTTGGAAAATTATAACAGCAAGTAATAAGAACATAATAACTAATTCGTATTACTGAAGAAGTCAAGCTCTCTCAGTAGAACTAAAGTGATCTGTATTCATATCATCACCTATATAGTTCAGATGGTAAATGGCTAGAAAAATATATTTCCTTGATGTCTTACCAAAAATTAAAGAAAACCATTTGCATTACCACGCACATTGACACTAAAATATATTATAACAAATGAACGAGCATTTTCTGTTATGAACCAGAGTCTAGATGTAAAAGAACAACAAAATCATGCTGCAATTGCTCTGAATAAGATCAATCTTTCATGAAAGCTGTGAGAAAAAAATAAATTAGCGCAATAATTTTATCAGTAAAAACATATGAAAACAGTATGAGAGAGGCTAGTTTAATTTTATGTCTAAAGACACAATTAAAAGAGAAAATGTAGAAGGCATAAACATGTGGAGTTACTTAAAAGGGGAGAGAGAGGGGGAAAATGAAGTCGGAGATCAGAATCAGCAACTTAACATCTCTATTCACACTGCTTTGGTAGAAAACAACTTCAAGCAGCTGCTTAAAATGCCACCAAATCATAGTGATCAACAGACAACAGGAAGCAATTAAAACAAATAGATACTACAACAGAAATACTAGAATAGAATAGAATAGAATAGAATAGAATAGACTATTGGTATCGTATGTCAACATCATTAATAAGACTAAACATCAAGAAATCATCCAGTAAACAGACTAATAATTTCACCTCAAGCTCTCCGTGAACTGGAAACAAGGATTTAGAAAATTTACTAATCACCCAAAAATCCGCATCATTTTAGCATATCAATCGGACAAGCCATGGAATTTGAGGGGGAAAGATACCTCAAGATTTTGATCCATCCTATTTAAGCATATTTAAGCATACCCATGCAGTTGATAGCACAATTCAAATATGAACATAGAAGTCGGAATATTCTCAAGGGCTACCAGACACTACCTGAATTAACATAACCCTAAATCAAGGGGGTAATGCCCAAATTAAGGAAACCTAAAATGAAATTCGAAGATTAAACATTGAAATATAAAAGTAGTTGAAAGGGAACCCTAGAGTTAACGTACATGGAGCTTGCCACGGAGCTCACGGTCAGAGCGGAGCTTGACATAAATACGTTCGTCGAGGCTGAGCCTTATCAAATCCAAAGGCTCCTTCACCGCACTCTCTTCTTCGCTTGTCATTCTCTGTTTTTGCTCTTTCCTTCTTCGGGTACAATAAAGGGAAAGGTTTAGTCCTTTAGGCTGCCGGTAGATGGCAAACGGATACAGTTTCGTGGATTTTGTATTATATTCGCTTTAATTGGAGCGAGAATGGGTATAATTTTAGCGGATAGTGGGCCGGTGTGGATTTATAAAGTGGTACCCGTCGTGGGTGGTGGGCGGGTAATAGGTTTGAGACATTACTCGCCCCGCATCCGCCCGCCCCACATCCGCCTGCCCAGCTAAATATCTATTAAATTTTGGATCATTATGAATTTAGGTATAATTTTAGAGTTTAATTTATAAATTTTAATATTGTATAATATATAAGATATAATTTAACCAAATATTAAGTATATTTAATCTTTAATTATAGAAATATTCGGCTCTTTGATTAAACTCATAATCTCACTAACCACGGCACTTTCCATGTTCTTTAGCCCATTCTGTCCATCCAAACACAAATTAGTCGTACTATAAGCATTAACATCAAAAGCAGCAGTTTCCATGTTCTTTAGCCCCTCAAAACCCATATTAGACGCACTATGAGCATTAACATCGAAAGCAACTCAACAATCCAGCTCAGCGACTACATGTTCCTTACAATCTGTCTCCATAACATTCGTAGAGCCACTCCTCTGACAAATTGAAGCATGCACTGCTATCCCATCACGAACTGTCTGGGAACCAACTCCAACATCCCATTAGTTTGCTTTCAGGCGGTTCTAGATGGGTATGTCGCTAGTGGGTAGTGGGTGTGGGATGGATTTGAAAATGTACCCGCGTGGGCGGGTGTGGATTTGAAAATTTGTACCCATCATGGATGGTGGACGGATGGTAGATTGAAAAATATTAGGTGGGTATGGGGATGGGGGAGGGGTATCCGCACCCGACCCGCCCGTTTGCCATCCCTAGATGCAGGTGAACAAAGATACACAAGTTATTATACGATAATTGTGTGGGTGGTCGAACAACTTTAAGTTTTTTTTTTTTATTTTGATCACTCCATTTTAGAAATATTAAATTCATCCTAATATTTTCTAAATCTAAAATTATGATCATGTGTCGTGTTTACACAAGTGGTTGAGATTCATAAATTGAGTTTTGTAAAGTTAAGTTTGAATCCTATCACCGTCACCTTTGATGAGCAATCTGTAAATTTTTATGTAAATCCTTATATGAACTAATAGAGCCATCCCTAACCTATATTTTTTATAAAAAAAAAATTATGATCATGTGTCGTTCAATTGTTATCGGGAATGCTAAAGTAATATACAGTTGTTATAATAAAATCCCAAGTGTGTGTTTGATTCACGGAATGTAAGATTATCAGTGGGAATAAAATATTACAAGTGAGAATAAAATATTACCAGTGGGAATAAAAGATACCAGGGAATACGATTACTGGGAATATTGTATTTTGTGTTTGGTTGGTTTAGCAGGAATGTAAGATTATCGTGTTTGGTTAAATGAATAAAAGTTTATTGGAATGTATATTTGACCAAATTGTCTTTATTATATATTTGTTTTTTTAACAAGTTGAATTCTACTATAATATTACTATAAGATATTTATATATTTTCTTTAAAAAATTTAAAATTCATAAAATTTATATAATTTTTTTACAAAATTGAAAATATAAAAAAGTTTAATAAAAGGGTAAAATTTTATTTTAACCCTTAAACTTCATATAAAATTTTAATTATATACTTTTTTTTGTAAATCTAAAATAGTTTAAGGATAAATTTGTAATTTAACATTCGTAATAAGGATATTTTTGAAGAAAAAAAATTTAAGGGTATTTTAGTCCAAAATATCGGTAATCCAACAATATTTAAGGGGAGGGGGTAATGACATTTCCGGTAATATACCCCAAAAAATTTATTATTGGTAATAAAATATTATCGGGAATGAGATTACCGGCCAACCAAATGGGGGAATGTAGATTCCACTCCCGAAAAAATCTCACATTTTCCGAACCAAACAGCCCCTAAAGGAATCAAGCTCTTCTCATTTTCTCTCCTATGCTATTGTTCCTTGCTATCACCGGTCAAAAGGCCGCCATATTTTTTAATAGAATCTTTTAAATTTATAAAGATTTGAGTGATCTTTATTTTAATTTATTATTTAATTTATTTGATTTATTTGGATTTTAAAATTTAAACCGAATAAACTTAAAAGATACATAGCTTCACTCTATTTACAAAATTTAAAATCTCATTTCTATTATTTTTCAGCTGAATCAAATTCTATCCACCCTCAAATAAAAAAATTGTATAAAAATAAAAACTTCAAACACAATCACTTTTATACCCTATCCCCTAAAACAAACCTCCTCGAGTTAAAGATCAAAATATATCACTTTAAATTTTAATTTTTCAGATATTTAAATTTCACATATTTAAATTTGAATTAAAATTCAAAATTCCAATTAACAATTTAAATTAATTTAAATTTTAAAAAGTATTTTTCAAATCAAATTAAATTTTACTTACCCTTAATTTTCTTACGCGGGATCAATACTCTTTAACCTTTTATTGGGCCTAATAATAATATTCCTCCAATTGCTCTTAACAAAGGCACAATTACTGGGTAAAATTGGCTTAGGTTTTTTATTTAGCCCAATAGAGTATGTAGAAGTTTATTTTGAGATCTAAGATATTTTCTACATTGACATGAAACTCATCAGGCCGAGATAACGAATTTTAATAAAAAAAAATTATTCAAAATTTGTACCTCGGTGTGATAAATTTTAATAAAAACTTGTATTTTATTAAAACTCGTCATCTCGATGTGACTAGTTTTAATAAATATATATATTTTATTCGAACTCGTCACCTCAAAGTGACGAGTTTAAATAAAAATATTTTTTATTGAAATTTATCATGTCAACGTGAAGAGTTTCATGAACAATGTAAAAAATATTGTAAATCTCAAAATGAATTTCTATTTTCTCAAATAATTTATCTATTTACCCTATTGGGCCAAAAAAACAATTCCTTCGCACCAGTTTAGGGTTTGTCATCCAATGTTTCCAACAGGCCACGAGGATGGACCAACAAACATCATGCAATGCAAGGCCTAAATTGTCCTTTATCTTAAAATCCGAGGTAATTGTGCTTAAAAGTGAATTCAAACCAACTTTGTACACATAAAATTCTATATATATATATATATATATATATATATATATATATCCAACTTTTATCGAACTATATTTTATCTTACCGTTCGAAAATAGTATATACCACCGTCAACGAAACATGTTCAAATATGAATAATAAAATTCTACATATTATCTTAGATAGTTTAGATTTTGCACGAATAAAGTGACATTAATGATAAAAAAAATTGATGTTATTTATTGATGCCTCATATTTGAGCATCATAAATACTATGAGTACAAATGTTTAATATAAAATAATTAAAAATCATCTTTAAATAAATATTACCTTATACTTACCTCAAGTTAATAAAAAGAAAAGATATTTAAACTCCATCCCATTACTTGTTTTAGTGCAAAAATCAAAAGTTCATATATAGAATGCAAATACTATAATATCTAAAGTTTTATATAAAAACATATTCATCGGCGTATTAAAATTTATAATACTAATAAATTTTAGAGTAGATGTTTAAAAATTCTTAATTAATAAATTTTTTAAGATGTAGATTTAATACCTAAATTTCTCTTCTTCTTCCTTAAATAAAAGTTGTTCAAAAAAATATGATATTTTAAACATAATAATTATGTAGGTCCACTTTAATACGAGCCCGAAAGCTTATCCTCTTATCCAACCAAACAAGTGGAAGAGAAAATGAGGGAGGGGAGAAACGTGTTCTTTTAGTAAGTAGTCTCCCTTTCTATCCGGTTGTAACTTTGTTATATCTATCAATATGGGTCTCTTTAGAATTTGTCAAAATATATGTTCTCAGAGTATAATTAATATATTTTATGGGGTGATCCATGCCTCAAAGGTTCAAACACGTGCTTTAAATTAGTTGACACTTATTTCCATATATAATGGGGTAGGGGAGGTAGTATAGTAGGCTGACCCTAACACCAGGTTGAGAGCAGTTTCCGTGAAGACCTCTGAATTATGAATTGCCCACCGTGGGACTCGATCCCACGACCCTAAGATTAATAGCCTTGTGCTCTACCAACTGAACTTTTTCATGTTCTAATTTAATGTAAATGGCTTACACATAAACAATTAATTTAAGTCGGTTGGCACATGGTTTTGTGATTGCTCATTGCTTCCACCTCAAATTTTTTATTCTTGGGGAAAAAGGACCTTATTCTTACCATAAATGAACCTTTGTTTTATGTCGTAAATTTGAAGTTTTTTTTAAAGAAAAGAATGATAAATTACGTAGAGTATTGAAAACAAAGAGCATCTTTTATTTTATTTTATTTCTCTATGTAGTTTATAATGAGAAGATAACAGAACCAATAGGATAAGTGTAAGATGTGATAATGGTTTGAAAAGTTTGAAAGTCATTGTAGCATTTCATTTGAGCCCATGCCGATGAGTCACATTCAAGTGATTGCCTCGTTACCTTTTTTTAGAAAACAAAGTATCAAAAGATAACATTTTCCAATGGATGGTTGGTTTTTACAGCAATCGCCAACTTGCTAGTGGATGTTTCATTTATACCATATTACAGCCCATAATAATAGACTAGAAGCTTATAATTTTGTTCAACCAACTAAAATTCTCAATCATATAATATATTATAAGAGGTCCAGAGGAATCACAGAATATATGATGGCATTTTAATAATTTCGGATAAAAACCCTATATAATAAAGTTAATATTTATAAATTTAATAATATATATCCGTTTATACGGTGGTATATTAATGGGGGGAAATTGTAAAGTTGTAACAAAAGAGACAAATTGAGAATGATAGAAGGTGGATGTGTGCTTGGTGTGCTGGTTGGAGATAAATGTACACATAGTTGACAGCGCACGCATATATATATGGTGAGCTGGTGGGAGATAAATGTACACATG